ACAGGCTAGCACCGGGACCCGGGCGTGACGCTGCTGGATCTCGCCGGACGTGGTTGCACTTCTAGACATATGTAGGACTCGAAGCGTGGGCTGCACAGCGCTGCCGACTTTTATAACATGCTCGACTATCTACCCTACGCTCTCATTTTGGATTTGCGACTATACGGACCGATAGCGTAACGTCGGGTACTCCTGGCTTAGCACCGTATAGCACGGCCGCACAACGTAATAAACCTCCAACCCGCTACCTTTTTGTTTTCTGTCGATTTAAGGGATGAGTCCCGACAAGCAGTCCTCACCTGGCGGACACTGGCGGAAGCCATTACATAGACTTTACTCCCTGATTCCGAGTCGACGGTAACACTGTTATATGTGTCAAGGTCGTCTGCTGTACGGCAATGCAAGTTCATCTGCTGTCACTCAATTTCGTTCTGTGATCCTACGTAGTCTGCCTCTCCGGCTCTATTGTCCTCCTACCACCTAACAAGATGCGCACTGCGTAGCAGTCCTCACTCGGCGGCCCTGGCGCTAGCCATTAAAACATATACGTCGCTGTCGACTCTTCTCTCTCCTGCCTTGCGCTCTCCTCCAGTGTTCTGCAGCAATAGGCCCTCGGTTCCGCGAGTTCCTGATCCCCTGGGGGTCGGCGGCACTGGCGGCAGCCATTAAATAACTATATTATATAACTTATAGAACACTATTAAGTATGGTATACTAGCGCTCAGCAACACTGGCATCCTTGCACCTTGCTTAGCCTGCAGTCCCGAGACTCCAGGGGCTGCTGCGGGGGCTTGCTGGGCACACGGAGCACTCCGTGTTGAAGCCTCGGCTCGGGGCTTTTTAGGGTTGAGGGGAACCTTACCCATAGGCCACTAAGTAGTTCCTTTTTGGGATTACCTTATAGGATTCTAAATATAAAACATAAAACGAAACTACTTAGGGGCCTATGGGTAGAGTCTTTGCAGACCAGCGCTGGTCATCTTGGTCTCGCTTCCAACTTGCGGCGGCTTACTGTAGGGCTTGAGGCGTTAGGCTTCTTACCGGCCAACGCCCCGAAACGCAGAAGCAATGAAAATCTGAGCACTCACCTTAACTGCTGGCTGTAACAAGCGATCCCTGCATCGGAAGTTTAATGGGCGTGATTTAGATATCCTAGATTCCCGTAGGCAGAGTGACCCTCGAACGCCTGCACCCGTGACCTTTCTGTTGGGATCCTTGTCCCCTACATCCAGAGGTCCACAACTTCGGAACACGCAGAACCAACCCGAGCCCACACCCTCTTAACAAAGCCTAAACTTAAAATCCCAACGCCGGATCCCTACTGAAAGCCCCAAGCGTAATTGACCAGACTGGTGTTCTGGTGGATTCATACAGCCGATATGTGACGGAACCCTGAGGAATAGTACTACCAACTCTGCAGGGGGCCTGGCCTTAAGCCACGAAAGCCGGAAACCACAAAGGTCATAGGCCTTTTGTTGCTCTTCCCGCCCTCAGCCCAAAAAAGACGCGAGGCGACGGCCGGCAAAGCGCTGGGAAGAACATCCTGACTTGAGGGTTTACGGTTAGGGTTCTGGTTTAGAGCAAGGGCTTCAAGAAGCTACAGCCTTTGGTTTCGTTTAGTGTTTCTGAAGGCTTGGAACAATTTCGACAGCATTGAGGGTTTGTTCTTGAACTCCCTTTCTGCGGGGCTCGCATGCCAGGAGAGGCATCCAACGCCAGGACAGCTGGAACCACATTAGGCAGAGCATTGAGGGCTTTACATGGTGTCTGCTGTCTGGGGCTTGGCTCAGAGTTTCGGGACTTGACTCGTCTGTTGCTGCGGGTCATCCGGACAACTGTTAGAAAACAAAGGATTCTAGACACCTGGTCAAGATTGATCACAAAGCCCCACACCCCAAACAAAGCTTGTACACTTTATTATAGCTGAGATGCCGATATGCGTCTGCATGCGGTCCCCAAAAAAAGCCGGAACATACGGAGTAGAAAAGGCATCTCTTGATACCAATCGATACAAATCTGGAACTCCACGCCTCCGAGCCCAAAGCCTCCAAATCGCCCGAAAACCCCCAAGTCCTAAGCCCAGTTCCTAAACTTCAACCCCCTCAACCCTTCACTAGCACAAGCCTGTAAGCCAGCCCCCCTAGACCCAGTGCAACAGTGTTCAAACTGAGCGTGTGCCTTGTGTATACTTCCCCACAAATCTGATTCGAAAGCACACTCCTCAAGAACAATCCCCTGAGGCTCCATGTACCGATATATAGCATATCATAGCATGTAGACTTAGGCCTTGAAGGACTTAAGGCTTGTAAGTACATACTATATGGGTACATGGAGCCTTCGGGGATCAGCAGGAAAGCGTCAAGGGAGGAAAGGCCAGCTTCCGCCCCAGCCAGTAGGTCCAAGGCTCGGTCGCCTCAAGGAAGGCTCTCGAGCCGATTGGGTTTAATAGGGTTTAGGGGTTTAGGGCTTAGGGGTTTAGGGATTTAGGGGTTTAGGGTTTGGGGTTTAGTTTTTTTTTTTGTGAGGGGGGTTGAAGATTCCTTTAAAGGTTCGGTCAGACAGCAGGTTTTGCAGCTTCCTTCAATAAGGGTTTCATAAGGGTCCCATGAGATTTGGTATCGGCCTTCGAGCGGCAACCCCTGAACCCTCAACCCTGAAACCCCAATGACTACCTGCATCATCCCATTTTCCCCTCCTCGGATCCGTAGGTCTTCCAAAGGTAGGCAGTAATCTTGGCAGACTCGTTCATGCGAACTCCCGTGTTCTCGTCCACGAGGAAGGGGTACATCTGCTTGCCTGTTACTATGACTATGAAAGCAGCTTAGATGAAACCCCAACCTTTCGCACTTCAGGCAAAAAAACGCAGGGATTTTGCCGCGGTCTGCTTCTGCCTCCCAACTTCGTGACTTCCTCCCTGAAGCGCGAGTTCTCGACGACGCCGTAGGCTTTGAGAGTCGATCGAGGGCAGGGGTAGATCTCTACATCCAGGGCGAGGACGGAAATGGTCTCTCGCACATTTCGGCAAAAAGGGCAGCCTTCGAACTCATAGAGCTTCAAGAGCCTTCACCGCCCATACATATGGAAACACCAATAAAAGGCTTCTTAAATCGTCAAGTCTTGAGAAACTAATTTTCCTGCTCGTAAGAAACCCAAAAAATATTATAGGAGAAACCACGGGGCTTGGAAGGTCGCTGGCACTTCTCCAGGCCACTGGCGGCCCAGCCGCCGCTGAAGCCCCGGAAGCAGCCAGCCAGGGAGGAGGTCGCCACTTCCGCCACTCTCCCAAGGACGGGGACCTTCCTGACTCAGAGCTTTTTAGGGGCCTCCTATAAGGCCCTTCTGAATAATAGACATCTTTAGGGTTTCGTGACTTCTAGAGGGATTATAGGGCTCCATGGGGCCAGAAGGGGTTTCATGAAAGCTTAGTGTATGATCCCAAAGTGCGACCTAGGCTCTTGACGACCTCAAAGGCGATGCTACAGTAGTGAAGCACTTTCATTGCTCCGCGGCCGCTACCGGCAGAGGTGCTTGAGCAAAGCGGCTCAGCCAGACGGGATAAATGATCTTAGAATTATAAGTCTCTCTGGCTCATGTGACTCAAGTCATGAACTACAAGCGCTTTCTCAAGTTCTGCCTACACCTCGGAGCCCCGGTTTGGGGTTCAGGCTGGTCGTGGGCTCAGCGATTCAGCAAAAACACACATGTTCCTTGAATACTACCATTCGCTCAGCCCTTCGCTCAAACCTCCCACATCGGGCTGACCGACGACGATCGAAGAGAGAGAAGATCCCTGCTGAGCACCGGGTTGCCATGCAAGAGCCTTGACCACTTAGAGCAAGGTTTTTCGGTGCAAACAAGGCATAGGTACTCTTCGAGGGTCCTGGCTTCGTGCAGCCCCACAGTCTGAGGTGCAGGCCCAAGCGACACATTTCCAGCAAGGCCTGCGCCATGGGTCCGAGCCTTGAGCCTGAGACCCTCATGAACGACAGAACTCGAAGCTACGCCCTAAACTCTATAAACCTCAAACAGTGTGCTTGTGTTCTAGGCGTTCTAGTATTGCTACGGTTGGTCCCAAGCTTGAAAAGATACAAGCATAAAGCCACGCCGAACCGCCATGGGATCCACACGGATCAACATCCTGACCACAAGAGCTAGCAAGGTGCCCGAGCCCGAAAGGCATTCTCGTGGCTAGGTTTTGCTTTTTCCGGAGTTCTACAGGGTTTATGGACCTTTTGATAGGAGTCTGTTTAAGTGTTTGCGGACTTCAGGGGTATACTAAAGACTTGGATCCTGAGCGAACAGAACCCTTACGAAACCCACATCACCCTTGTGGAAACCTGATAGAAGGAGGCCAAAGTGAAGAGCCCCCAAAAAACCCCAGAACCCTGCAGTCCCCAGAAAAGCCACGCCGAACAGACATCATGCTAATTATCTGCCGAAAGAGTTCGAAGCCTGGCGACTTCAACCCCAAACCTCAAGGGCCCGGGGACACCCGGCCTGTTCCGAAGGAGTACGAGCGATTTGCAGCGCCTCTGTAGGGGACAGCACAGTTTGATGATTTAGGCGTTGCAATCGAAGGCAGTGGGGCAGCTCCAAGAACTTAGACGGATTCAGCTTCGGCGAGTTCAGGGTTGGGGGACAGTTCCAGGGATTTGCGTTCGGACGCAGGTGATAGCTTCAGGCTCAGGACTCGACACCTCGTCGTGCAGCACAAACACTGTGGCGATTCTTGTGTTCCTTTTTTTGACCCACAAATACTCTGCTTCCTGGCTGTCCTCGATTAGTCGCTGCTAGCATATTACTACCCATGCTGTTATTCCGACACCGTGTGGCTGAGAACCGACACCCGGCGCCTCCCGGCAGACTGGTAGTCAGGGGGTTGGTGTAGCCTTCAACCTGCGCATGAGAGATACCCAATAGGGATCAAATAAAATCATTAAATATAAGAAAATAATTCAAAACAGTTCATTGTAATTCGAATATTATAAATACATAAATACATAATACTAAAAAATATCAATTCATGCAAGGAGCCGCTCCCTACTGCTGGCTTTCTGAAGCAGGCTCAGGCGTTGATTTGCATGGCCAGGGACATTGCAGCTTCGTGATTCAATCCGGGTAGACGCACAGGTATACAATTCATGAGCCTGATCAGCCTGTTTCAGTCTCGATCGGTCGTTGCTTCTAGCAGGGAGATGTGATTAATGCCGATGGCTGGTCATTCCTAGCGTGTTCTCTACGACGAGGACTAGTGTCACCATTCCTTGCTACTTCTGTCATCTTGAAAGGGTAGATATAACAGCACCTTGGCCATCAAGCCCAGTGGTTGCGGTTCGGCTGCTAGGGAATTGAGCTTCTCACCTTAGTAAATCCGACAAGAGCCCGCGGTCGAGGCGTTAAGAGTGGCTTCACTGGGCTTCACCACCGGCCATCAACACCAATGCTGCATCCTGGCCTCTAGAATCAGCCAGGTACCAGAGGCTGGATTCTCGGGCATGGGGTACGACTGTTCTGTTATATTTTGGCAGGCTCCTATGTCAAGCAAATACATCTGAAAGTGTGGCCTTGATCATGCAACCGACCATGCTAAACCTTTATCCAGGAGGATCCCTCTTGCCCGAACCCCAGAAAGGGGCCCTAGGTTCCGGAAGCCATACACCCAAAGTAGAGAGGCCGTACAGAACGAGCACAAACTTGCAGAGAGTCTATCCGCCCCTGAAACAGAACGCCACACTTACTGTGCCCAACAACCGGAAGCCTCAAGCGGTTCGGCTCCGCAGTGGCTCCCCTGTTGGCGAATCAGGCTTGCGGCTTGTAGGACTTAAGGTTTCGAGTGTTCGGGTATCAGTGCTTGATGTTGAAGGTAAAGGTGGGGTGGAAATACACAGATCCAGGGTAGAAGCCCTTGTCACGCGGCTTGTCGAGTAGTGGCCCGTCTTAATAATCACTGCCGCCGATTGCATATGACAGCATCGTTCATATTGAAACGCTTCAGAGAGATGAATGATTCTGATACCTCTCGGTTCTCCCTTGCGGTCGATGTTGGTTTTCCTGCCACCAGCCGCTTCGCACTGGTGATTCGGGCACCCTTCCAGCGCCGCACTCGCTCCAGCAAAGCCGTCGGGGACAACGTGGCCTTCCACGCCTGCAGCCGGGCGTAGTCTCGGCTCGCTTCCTCTGCATGTTGCCTGGAAGGCCCAAGGCATTCGCAGGCCAGCTCTGTCACATGCGTCCTGGCGGCAAAGCCACGACGTTGCCTCCGAACGCCTTTCGGTCGACACTCTCCGAGGCCGTAAATGGCCTGCCCATCTCTCGTCTTTCCTTTGAACGCGAAGAAATCACTTCCACCACTTCGACGGAGGCGCTTGGCTAACACCTCCGACTCCTCGACATCTTCCGGATGCTGCTCCACGTAAGCCACCAGCTGCTTCAGCGTGGCCTGCCCACCCAGTGCAACCATCACATCTTCCATGACAGCTTGCCTGTTTATTCTGATAGACTCCGAAGCTTGCACCTCCTCGACTATGCTATCTTCAATCCGCTGCAGCTCCCCCACGACTTGCCTGATGGCCAGCCAAACAGATGCCGATGCAGCCCCTGGAAGGTCACCACGCTGTGCTTCGAAATCGTCAAAAAGCTTCTGGAGATAACGCAGCTCCTCTTGAATGAGCTTGGGATCAAAGCCTTGGGACCGCCACGCACGGAGAGCCTTGAGCAACAGTTTCCTCGTCCGCCGCTGCAAGTTCAGGGACGGTCCAGCCTCCTCCGCACCAAAGCAGCCGTCGACTTCGCCAATGCCAGAGACTGGCTGCGCCAGCTGACAAGCTGTGCGTGGGGGTGCAAGGGCACCCACGGCTTGAGACACGACTTCACACAGTTTTGTCTGGCTGGTGTTGCTGTCGAGGCTTCCCACAACAGCTGCCGCTTCCTCCAAGCACTTGGACTTCTCTTCAAGCCGCATGTTCGCCCATCTGTTCATGCTTTTGAAGATGGCCTCTGGACCAGACACGCTACAGCTACCACTGGCATCCTTCTTAGTCTTCTCCGATGAAGCCGTTGGAGTTGCCGGAGCTTCTTCAATCGGCGGCATGGAGTCAGCACAACATCGCAGGCGTGCCAATCGCTTTTGAAGACAGCTTCGGGCTACCTGTGGGTTGCACGACTATTGGGCAGCATGCGGTCCCTTAAACCCTGAACGGTAGCTCTGTCATGCAGTCTGGGGTTCTAGGGCACTATAGGCCTCGATTGCAAAGACTGCTCATGGAAGCACAAGAATCAGGCTGCACAAGTGTCAATAAACCCCACCAATGCCTCCCATTCGTCGCTGGCTGAAGTGTAAGATCGGAGACTTCTTTGCGCTGCCGGCAGGACCAAGCGAAGGCGCGCAGGCAAAGGGCCCGAACCCAACTTTCTCACGAGTTGGGCAAGGAGCCGGAGCTCAGAAACATCCGGAATTCGATCTTCGGGTGCATAGGCCACCCATGCAGCCACATGGGCTGCGTGTTGTCTCACTTCCGCCTTCCCGAAATGTTCAGCAGCAGCCACGTACTTTCGGATAACTCGCGGCTTGTTCGCATGCCGGTGAAATTTCGCCGCATGGTGTCGGAGACGCTTCAGCATCTTCGGGTCAAGTTCGCGCCAGAAGAGAAGGTATGCTTAGATCTCTCGGTGCTGCCAGAACATGGGGGCAAGCACTAATTCGCTTGGCCAAATGGCTGTATCTGGCGTCAGGCAGAAAGTTTGGGTATGATCCAAGAAGTTGCAACAGCTTCTGAGACATCAGGACAACCAGCCTCGGCCCTACTCCCGAAGCCCTGAGCATCCCTGAAGAATGGCCACGACACGAAAAAACCAACATCCCAAAAACTCCTCCTTAGACATCCTTAGACTGTAGCTGCACTGGAGATCCTAAGAATCCAGACCGTAAACATTGTTGGATGAAGCGTGTACACCCGCCAGATGCCCATGAGAATCCCTTTGAGCAAAGACTGTAGCGAGAGCACCTCCGGGATGAGCCAGAGGGAGCCGTTTCCTTTCGCCGTCCACGGCGTGGAGGTTTAACATACTCTTCGAAATCATGGTATATGATAGCTCGTGTCTTTTACTATGTTCCAGAACTCTCTCTCTCTCTCTCTTTCTTTCGCCGGGGCTGTGGGCCAGAGGGAAGCCCCCCTAGCCCGCGCGCTGTCGCGCCCCCCCTCTCTCTCTCTCTCTCTCTCTCTCTCTCTACACATATATATATATGTATATATGTCAGAATAGACTCTACTACATACTGTGGTCCACGGCTTGGTGTGGAGCTTGGGCCCCTGAGGCTCCTCCCGCTGCTTCAGACTGTAAAAGCTCCTGGGTCTGGGCCTCCCGGGGATTTCCGGTTCTCGGTTTCGGGTGGTTTAGGGCCGTAGGACTCAGGGTGGTTTAGGGTTTCGGGTTTCAGGGGCCTGAATGAGTTGCTCCACAGGAAAGCAGGAGCCCAAGACGGCACCCACACGTAACCTTGTCTAAGGTCTTCTCCCTACACGGCTGTAGGCATCAACAGTTTGTCCTAAGCTGCTTTATTTGTGCCTAAAAATGCACAGCGGAGCGCACGAAAGCAAATGCCGGGACCAAGGTCACAGAGCCTGAAATTAAGCCCTGAAGCCCTCATGCTTCATGCCTGTGAACATCTCCTTTCCTGAACTCTTAAGGCCGTAGAGCCTGTCAACTTCTCCCCTACAAGGCCCCCCAAACAGTGCCTGTAACCCTAACCCCTATGACATGGTATCTTACAAAACTCTTAAGTTGAAGGGCAAATCCCCACACCCTGCACCCTTAAACCAGTGGGGTAACCCTAAACCCTAAGCCCTGGACCCTTACAAACCCTAAAGCCCCAAAACCCCGGGCCGCACGAGGAGTCTCAGGTTCCGACGGCCGGTCACCGCCGAGGGCCAGTCAGGGATGGGCTCGATACCCACGGTGCACTCTTGGCCTGGGGCTCTAAAGGGCTTTGAGATTGGTTTAGAGCCTTGTTTTAGAGCTTAGGTTTAGGGTTGAGTCTTGTCTTGGGTTAAGAGTTCAGCCTAAGGTTTAGGGATTTGAGGGGTGGGGCGTGCTCGATAGGGCTTGGGCCCAAAGTTTAGGCTGCAGAGTGGAGGGCTTACCTTGGGCCTGAAGCTGCGATAGCCTTTTTGTAGGGTATTATGCATAAGCTTCAACACCTACATACATAGAATGTATAAGGACCTTACAAAGAGTAAGTTTTGGTAGATTAAGGCAACGGGAATGGAACACAGATGCGGCATCATGCAAGCATGTGCTGCAGAGTGATCGTCGTGCGACAGCGGTTCCTGCATAAGATAAAAATGCTGCTAGAAGAGCTCTAGTTCAGACTGTAGCGCGGAGCCAGAAAAAAAAAAGATTGTCAGATGCCCCCCCCCTTATCCAGTAGAACAAAGCAAGGCATTTCCGTCGTTGGAAGAATATTCAAAGTCAACATAAAGAATCCCTGAACCCAGAATCCCTTCTCCAATCCCTTCATCCTATACCAAAACAAGATCCGACATCGCCGTTCAGGAATTTGTGGGGAGGAGTCATCTGAATTTCCCGTTGAAACCCGCATCCACCCTCTGCGTCCCCGGCCCAGTGTGCAGACGAAATCCTGCCGGAAGAGTGATTCGAAAGCCTGAAACCCTGGAGCCCTGAACCCTTTCTTGGGTACCCCGCAAACAGTCACCGGGAACCCTGTCAACACAGGCCCCCAAGACCTTCAACCCTAAAGCCCATAGTAGGGTTCTTCAACAAACAAAACCAAGGCCCACCCCAGCCTCAGACCGCCAAGCCTGAGAAATATATCGACTGGGGTTTGTGAGAAAAAAATGAAGGTATCAGTTCACCTGATACTCCACCTGTCCTCAACTTTGACACCTAAACCCTTCACCGGCAAGCGGTCCTTCGGAACCGGCCCTGCCAAACATGCATCGGACTCAGGCGCGATGGACAAGACCTGGAGTTCGATCCACAGCGCGGGCCCAAGCCGGGATTCCCCTTAGCCTTGCGCCTTGCCTGAGGACCAAAATCTGCAAGTTGGGATTGCTACGACTCTACGAGATTTTTTTTTGGTATCACGAGGTGATTCCTGAAAGGAACCCTGTTCAGGCTGGCTTGCTTCTGATGAAGTTCGAGTCTTGGAGCTTCCGGAGTGCACTGGCTGAAGAGAAGGAAACATCCAAGCAGGGTATGCAACAGCTAGCCGATAGCCTATGGGCCTGCGAGCTTTACAAAATAGGATAGTCTGGTGTATGATTCTTGTGAAGGAGATGGCATGACAGACTACATGTTCGGCTGCTCATCCGCAAAGCCCGACCAAGGCGGAGGCTTCTGCAGCATAAGCTGGAAAAGCCTCGGACCATAGCAGTGCCAAGGTTTGTTGAGACTTTGGCACAGGATAGGGCCGTCGGATTTGCTTGGCTTAGTACCTTAGGGCTCCGAAAATGTTCCGAGTACCCTAAAGGATCTAGGGCATCGTGTCTACCTGTAGAGTTGAAACGAACGATGAGCGGCCGGGGACGACTTCTGGGATCCGGGTCCCACGCCCTGAGGTGCAGAAGACCCCGAAGCTTTGAACGCTCGATAACCGCTAGAATCCTAGAAATTAGCATCTTGTAATCCCGAAGCCGTAAGAGGTCTTCGTCCGACTTCCCGAAAAGCAGTTTCTTCTTGATCCTTCTCGTCATCTTCGAAATACTCACTACTTTTGTACCCGGTAGCCCCATCAAATCAGGTTCCGGTCACATTACCCCTATGTATGGAAAGCCGTATGTCCAGGGCCGCCACGTAGATGGAACCGCTGGGGGACAGCACCGCGCCAGTGAACTTTCGCTCGCCGGGAAGCGTAAACCCCAGCAGGACCTGTTTCAGATGTTACATGGCCCCGAATATTTCAGCTTTAGCGTTTGCAGCTTGGAGTGCAGTCCCTTCAATATCCTAGCCGGAGATCTGACAATACGTCTGTCAAAGGTCCTATCTGAACCCTGCAACACCCAGCCGTCCAAAGCGGGCATAAACTTAGATCCGAAAGTCAAAAGCCGAAAGCTTTACATCTGTTCCAGCAATTGTTCTCTTGCTGCAAGGAGCTGCTGTGAACATAAGCACCTTGTTGCCTTGCGCCTGAAACAGGAGCCGACCATAGGCAACTTCAAGACTCTTTAGCCTAAGTTGGATGATGACAGGAAGGCCCAGTTCTTTCAGACCTCCATCTGCCCTACCCAACACCTAGTCTAAGAACCTACATCCAAGCCCGGAAGGGAAACAACAGCCGGCCTCTTCCACGATGTCCTGCTCAAAGCGAACAAGAATCGCGCCGGAGCAAATAAGGCCATTACTAAAGAGAAAGGCTCTCTACACTCAAATGCAGACGGGATGCTGCGCCGGAAGCGTTCGGCGTGATCTTGAGCACCCGCTCTGCACTGTCCGGGATGGCCTCGAGACCAGGGAGGGAAGTCGAAGCCGGACTTGGAGCAGGGTTCAGAGTTTCAAAATATAGTATAGTATAATCTAATATAATATAACATAACATAATATAATATAATATGATATAATATAATATATTTTCAAAAAGGAGGCAGTAGGGAAGTGCTTGGGATAGGTGTTTGTTTTTGG